CTCTTTCCTTGGCCCAGATAAAATGCTGGTGGGAATAACTGACAGCCGTCCTGAGCTGGTGCAGATGTCGGGCTTGCGTGCTCTTCCAGTAGCGCAGAGGCCATTCAAGGTGCGTTTGTCACGGACGTCCAGAGGAGGTGATGATCTGCCTGTCTGAGCTCCGTGTGTCGTTGGGCAGAGAGCAGGATGACTCACATTGCGTGACACTTTTCTTGAAGCAGAAACACTCGGGTGAGAGGCACGCAAACGGCGTGATGCCACGGGCCACGTTGCAAAAGCAGTTACTACAATCAGTGATTTTTACACCGTTTTTTTATCTGTCTGACCAAAGAGACCAGAGGCACAATTGACACGATAAACTGAAAAGCCAGAGTCAGATCACTCTTTGGTGCTGGGCAGCTGCTTCTGGTTCCAGATTCATAACGGGCACCTGCTTTGAGGGAAGTTACTCTGGAAAGGAGGGGGCACCACTTACCTGGCTTTCACCTCTCCCTATGATACTTCTCTCTGAGAAGAGCACCAAGTCTACCAGAATTAAAGGATCTGATGAAGAGACAAATTAATAATTGCCTGCAAAGGAGCTGACTGATCTGAGCTACATTTTCCAAGTAGCCTGTGCTCTGCAGGTGCCCTTACTGTATTAGCACTAGAACCGCACGTTAGTTTTAAGACTCCCTCTCGAATAGGGATATCGTAATGTTTTTTAATTGGGGCTGATAAAAATGTGGCATTACTTGTAGGTTCCTCAGAGAAGCCAATTGTGAAATTGGGTTTGTATTAAACTTAATGATGGAAAATTAAGCATAGTACGTCTGTCGGAAATGGTCTGCAATAAAAATCTTCTCCTCTCCATTACAGGAGGTTAATAGGGAATAGGGGAGGAAAGATGCACTGGGAAAGCGAATCCAACTAGGGGAATTAATAAGCCTTGAAATTCCCTCTGTTCAGAGTTCTCACACTGTCATTAGTCGGAGCATTAGGGATGATTATACAAATGCTTTGGATGTTACTCTTCCTTAAATCCCAAATTTATTCACATTTTGTATGTAAGGGTTGCTTTGCTAGAGCCATAGCTCTGTAAATCTCTGAGTGTCCTGGGAATGCGACGATGTTTATGAGAACCTGGGATTCAGAAATCCTTAAATTCGGTAGCCTAATCGTCAGAGCTTTGTGCTAATTTATTTCAGAAGAAGCAGGATGTGTTCAGCATCTCTGACTTATCTCGCACTAGAGCTCAGCTTGCCCTGCGGCCGGGTCCACTGCTGTCATTCCTTTCTCCTCCTCGTAGTCCTGCAACTTCAAAACAGAGCATATGCCTGTCTTGATATCTTTCCCCTAATATAACAGTAAACCAGCTAAAGCATTATTTGTCATATTTTGTCACGTCATCGTTTCGCCCGCTGCCGGGGAGGCGATGTAATGTCCTCGGCTGTCTGCTCCCACCCAACGTTGCGGTGAGGGACAAGGCAGAGATCCGGACTGGTTCTGATCAAAACTCCACGGCGATTTCTCAAGGATATAAATGTTTGCAATAGCACTCGGGCTGTATTTCTGCCTCACAGAAATCACCCTGAAATTGCAATTTGATTTATTTATTCTTTATCCCTTCGAAAACATGACTGTAGTGTTGCTGACGAGGGATGCTGCTCAGGCTCTTTGTCAGTTAGCTTTCTGTAAGAAACGAGCCTTGTGTATGCAATCTGGGGGGGGGTACGAACAATTTGAGGGAGATATGGTTTCTGGTGGTTTCTGTGGTTGGTTTGGGGGAAGACCAGAAAGAATTGGTGCAGACTGTTAAGGCCTGTATGTGCAGCATCTCAGCTGCCTGTAACCATAGTTAAAACCAGTAGTTTATTTGACCAACTATTTACATTTGGTCAACTCTGGTAGATAAGAAACTAAATTTTTCGCCTAATCGGAGTTTCTGTTGTTAAAAATAACTATTGTGACAGTCAAATGTTTGGTTATTTAAGCTCTTTTCTGTTAGCTCACCAGGAATATTTTTTTGTGCATATAGAGTTTTGCTGGGGATATAAGAGTTTACAATTCCACCTGCGTAGTGATAGAGATTTTTTAAAATCCATTTCTTTCAAAAAGAAACTTTTTCTGTTGAGTTTACTGATCTGAATTTTAAGTTTCTGCATGCAAGATAACTGTATTTTTATGTTGGTTTAATGTTTCTGATAATATTATATCTTTGTAATTGACATATAAATTTTAGGTCTGAACTAGCAGTGCGGTTTAATTTGCCTCTAACATCCTGTGTAACTTATTTGAAATGCTAATAATTTGTTTGCTGTTAACTTGGGCCCCTTTCAGTTATCTCGTACCGTGCACCCCAAATCCTGCTTGAATATCTGACTCGTCTGTGTGTATCTTTCCGTCGTGTTCTTTGCAGGTTACTGAAGCGAGGTACGTCATGCGATTGGAGTCGATGCCGAGCTCACCCTTACAAAATGTGCTGTTTCGCTGTGTGTGCTGTATCCTCGTTAGCCTGACAGGCCATTTACTCTGTTTCCCATCTCTTGGGGTTTGTCTCCTTGACAGAAAAAATATTCAAGTGTGATTTAGTCGTTCTAGGCAGCTGTAGGCAAGTGTGTGTTTGCTACTTACTTCTTTACTTTCTCTTGCCTGCACCAACCTATGGGGTGGTGGAGAAACAGATAAGCAAACGGAGCAAGAAGGAGAGTGAAATACCAGATAGGTGAAAGCTTGTTTTGCCTCCCTGTCTTTAAAACAGACAGTAGCCATGGAGAGATGACCCAGCCAACCCTGACTATCCAGACCCACCCGTACCGGAGCTGCGAGCCGGTGGAAATGTCCTACCCCCGGGGACAGTTCCAGCCAGCCATCCGAGTGGCCGACCTGCTGCAGCACATCACCCAGATGAAGCGAGGACAGGGCTATGGATTTAAAGAGGAGTATGAGGTGAGAGGAACCTTCGCTCACATGAATAAGTAGAGAGGTTGCAGTCACAAAGGATAGATGTTGGGGAGGGGAGGATAACTGGTTTTAAGAGCTGCTTTTCCTTAATTCACTTACCGTCTTAATCCTTTCCTTTCTCCCTCTTACTTCTGTTACGAGGGTAGGATTTTACAGCACTAGCAATCTTTGGTGGCCCTCTAGCCCAAAGAGAAGGAGTTTACTACAGCCGTAAGAAAATGACATTGTGCTCATCCATTCGCACATACCCTCTCTCCTGTAAGGAGCAGATAGATAGTAAATGTTTAACAGGTGCTGAACTCAGTGAAGGACTTGGGATCCCCTAGTCCCTTTCCTTACTGATGTGCTTTCGTTGACAATAAAGCAAGCCAGGCATTAAGGAAGGGCTTGAGCTTCTGGGGAGCTCCAAATACTCTGTAACAATCGATCAAATTAAATCACAGCATAATGACCTGATTGCACAATTGTAAAGGCAAAGGCAGGAACCTCGTGTAGCTTAAATGAAGGTGGAGTTATCCCGTACGCTCAAACCTCTGGCTCAGCATATGTTTGACTGATGTGCTCTTCCAACTCCGTGTGAGGAGAGAAGCAAGGAGGAAGCTGCAAAAATGAAAGCAGCCCTCCTCCGCAGCCCTCCTCCACCCCCCGCCTCTTCCCCCCAAGCTGGAATGACCAGGAATGTAATCCAAATGACAAAAAGCAACATGGCACTGGGGAGGAGTTGGAAGAGGAATATACATTTAGAGGAGAGAGAACAGAAGAGGGAAACAGCATCAAACACGTGAGACTTTGCCCTAGCAGGCGATAATTATAATGGATGTAGTAAGCTTGTGGGAAGGCAATAAGCAATTAATATGCATCGTGGCATTAAAACTACTTAAAAATAACATAACAGCTGTGAAAAATAAGTTACTTAATGAAAACAGCTCACTTTTCCACCCTGCAAGTAAGAGTCCATGGAGTTTGTATCACTGATGCTGGGGTTTGCTGTAATTGAGAGGCAATCTTTTCCTGGTGCTCACCAGGGAGTACTTTTTTAATCAGATGGCATCGGAGACTGTCATACAAATGTTTCTGGTAACTGTATGTTAACCAGGTCTAGTCACTCATGCCCCACAATCAAGCACGCTAATTAAACTATCAATATCAAGAGCTCTGTTTAATATTGGAAAAGGGTAATAATTCTCTTAGGAGATTTACTTAGGCCCCCCCTTGGCCTCCGTTTCGATGAATAGTACCCAAAACTACATTCAGCTCAATTACTGATGCCCTAAGATCTAGTTCTTGATGTTCAAGAAGAAAACAGGTGCTGGCATATATGTAATTTTCTGGCACTGGCATTGGTAATTATCAAAATAACACATTAGCATGAAAAATGTCAATGCAACTTTCAGCTCCACAAGTTCTGCCTTTCCCAGAAAGTGCTATCTACATACGTATATAATGACGATGAGATTTATATGGATTTGCATAATTCTTTTCTTTACAAGAAATAGCCTGGAGAATGCCACAAGCTCTCAAATCACACGTGCCGTTCTACCCTTCAATCGGAGGTAATTGCTGGAAGCAGCAGTCATTTCCAATGGCAGAATTTGGGTTTCTGAGCATGGGAAGCAGGCAGCACTTCAGCTCCAAATAGCTTTCAGCCACCACCAGTACCACGAACGCGGCGAGGATGTCGAGGGGTGTTATAACTCCTGGAGGCAGGAGGGTTCGCTGGGCTGAGTGGTGTCTCAGACCGGAATCTGGAGGAACACAAAGCAACAAAACTGGCTTTGCAAAATGTTTTGCGGAATGGTTGATCAAGTCTTAAAAAAGAAAAGGCCTGAAACTCTATGTGATGTCTCTTTTAAAATGTGTTTTCATACACTAATATCAGTGTCACCTCCAAATATGTTTTCTCTTCTAAGGAGATGATTTTCTGCTTTGCAAATTGATAGCATAAATTACAGCCTATTTAGTGACATGTTAGCAAATAATTTTACTCTCAGGAAAAATCACTTTGAACGGAGAGTATCAGTCACACATGACAATCTCTTATCTCTGTAAATTCTCATCTCCGCTGAGTAACCTGGAAATTACATTCGATATTTGTTTAAAGCAAACCTACAGACCATTAGAGCGCAGGCAGCATGTTGTACCGAGAGCATCTAGAAAAATACTTCCGGTGCTTGCATCTTGCACGTTAACTCCCCACGGAGATGAAAAGCGGGATGTGATTGTGTAAGCTGTCACTGCTAGTGTGAAATGGAGGATGACTGGGCGTGTGACCGTGGGAGTCTGTCAGCACTTGCCACGTGTGTGATATTTTGGGTCTGCCTGCTGCACCTGAGGCCAAAGTGGGACTCGGGTGGTTTTGGCTGCTGCTTCTGTTTAGCAATAAAATGTGTGGATCACAAGAGAGAAATCTGTCGCTGGCACTGGGTGTAGATAGCACCGTTTGGGATTAGGCACAGCCGTAAACATTTAAACAGGCCACGTTTAAATGTCACCTGTTCTTCTTTCCGAACTTATCAGCCCTGGTTTGTTGTGAGCTGCAGGACCGGTCCCATAGACTTACTGCGAGCAGCAGTTACTGACTACGGAGATAACAAGCTTAAATATCCAAACTCATTTTCCACTATGATTTTGGATGTCACTAAAGTACATTCTCCTGCTGTATTACTGAGACCGTTCAGTTATTCTGGATTTTGTGGCTCCTTTCTCCAGCATCTTAGTACGAGAGTCTTCAGCTTATTGAAGTCAGCTCTGGATTTTAACCCTTTCATTTCTGCCTGGCTGCACATCTTCCATCTGATGGGAGGACTAGATCCTGTGCTTCAGGCTCTGATGTGACAGTGCAAAATGTTTGGCAGCAGGGAGTTACTGTAGATGCTGCCCTTGGACGTTGTTGGCTCAAGGCTTTGCTACGAACCGGAATGGGGAACTGAACTGGCTGAAATATTTCTTTTCAGGTTTTTGGGGTTTTTTGTTTGTTTGTTTGTTTGTTTTTTAAATCCAAAGCAGTTTTTAACCTTGGGTCACAGCAGAGTTGTGGGAACAGTTCTGCCACCGCCGTTGAGAAGGTGGTGGCTGCAGGGAGAGGGCCGGGACTCTGTGGCAGGCTTTGAGATGAGCAGCACAGCTTTTAATTGATGTTGTTGCCTTTGGCAGCAATACTGCAGCGTTGGGGTAGAACAGTGCAGATGAATGATTCAAGTTTTTGTGTTTAAATTAAAAACAAACAGCGAACTAACTAAACACATCCATTGGGAATTTAAATTGACTTGCAATAAGCCTCAATTTAATGTGATCGCTTTAGTTATGTTTGGGCCATGGTGCTTAGAAAGCTCGAATTGAGATGAAGCTGACTTTTAGAGATCTATCCTTGTAATTTCAGATAAAAATTAGATCAATTTTAGTTTAAAAAGCATCATTATACCATAAATTGTACAGTGAAATTTTGCTGGTCACAAATCAAAGAAAGAAGGGAGAGCATTTTCTGTGAAATGCGGATCAAATACCAATGCCCAAGCGATCTATCCTGATCTACCGTTGCTGATAATGCAGAGAGAAACAGAAATATTAACCCTTTTTGCTATAATAGAGATGCTTACTGTACAAACAAAACCTGAAGGAACAGTACATTAGGTCTGCTCCTCTTTTTCTGGATGCAACCGAATTCATTATAATTTATATTTTTGCCTCTGTATTTCTAATGTGGTTTCGATTCTTGGTGCTGCGTTTTTAATGATCTCACAGAAAAATGATTTTTGCTGTACCACCCATGCACCTGCAGTTACTCCAATTTATTCATCTGGTGTGTATAAAAGTAGGGGATACAAGGTACACCTCTGCAAAGGCAGCTTGTGTTCCTCACCACCCAGAGCTGTGCTTCCTCTCTTCAGAGATGGATAGTTCAGTGAAAAGCAGAGATTTCTTTGGTATTGAATGAGATAAAAAATCCCGGACTCTTAAATCTTTGGAGGCTATATCAGGCAAATATAAAAACATCAATTTCAATGGAGAATTTCATGTTCAAATCACATGAAAGGATAGGGTTTGTTGGAAAGGGATTTATTGGACCTGAATGTATTTTCTTTGGCCAAGATAGCTTCTCCCACGTGGAAATCATGAAAAAAGATTTTCTTTCTTTTTTTTCTTTTTCTTTTCAGATGGCTATGATTAGATGTCTAATGACTGTTGCCATTCTCTGGTCAATCTGCTGTAATTTGATAATAGTGGAAAAATAAGGCACCTTTTTCCTCAGTCTTTGAAGATGAAAATGAACCTTCCATACCTCTTTTCTTTTACTCAGGGATTTTTTTTGTTGTTGTGTATGGGTTTATCGGTTGGTTGGGGTTTGTTTTTTTTTTTGCTCAGGAGATGAGCTGCTATTTGGAAACAGCTGTCAGTAAAGGAAATATATGTGTGATCAAAGCCCTCACCAATTACAGGGTTATTACTGTTTCTCCTGGGCTTTGGAATAGGAACTCACCGTCCCTGTCTTTTGTCAGCAATGCTCCTGGCAGTGCTGCAGTGCCTGACATTTTCTGTCCTGGAACCCCTCTGGGAAAAATTCACGGCGATCTGGTCTGCCAGGGGTTTGCTCATAGTAAGTTTAATTGTAATGTCAGTGTTGTAGATCCTAATAATTGTGTCTCTCTCCTATTGCATTCAGGCACTGTAATAGACCTGGATGGCTTGGGAAGATGAATATAAATTCATTTTCTAGCACAGCTGTGTCAAACTACCCGCTGCTAGCTAAGGCAGATACGATTCCGCAACGATTGCGGTATAAAAACCCCCCGTAATTCCCTAGGGACCATAAATAATACAATTTATAATGTTGCTGTTGGTTTTAGTAACGCAGGATCATGTTAGAGAGTAGATCTTGGTGGAGGCAGATCTAGCGAGGAAATCCGGTGGGAGCTGTTCTCCTCCGTGGCTGTGTTTTTGGCACAAGTCAGGGCTGGGCTGGCTGCGGCCGACAGCAGATCCTGGCTTGCCGTCCAGCTGAGATGCCGGTGCCGTTGCTGTTTGGGCAGAAAGCACCGCTGCTGTGATCGGCCCATGCTGACGTCCCTGAGCGCCCTGCGACAGGGAGAGGGACCGTCCTGCTTACGGGCAGTCTGGGCCATCTTCCAAGGAAGGCGAGACCATCGTCCACCAGATCCTGTGACAACTGCCATTTTCCTGGCTCTGCCTTGAAAATCCTTCCCGGACGGCTCTCAAGGGGAAAGCGGCTCATTTGGGTGTGTTCAGAATAGTTGTAGGGCCAAGCGGTAGGGTGGGGTAGCTCTGCACGCTGCTGGTTGCCTTACCCCATCCTTTCTCAACTAAAAGAGCAGATTTTAGGACAAATGACTATTTATTTTCATGCTTCATGAGCATGTTCTACCTCCTTTTGCCTCTCTTCCCTACAGGTGATCTAAACCCCTGAGCTCTTTTATTTTTCCCCAAAGAAAACCAGCTAGTGGTTTCTATTGCATCATGCCATTATAAATACAGAAATAGGTGAAACCACTGTATCTGTTTTTAACTTAAATATGAAAGACTGAGCACTGTGTTTCAGCCATCTGGGTTTTCTTAGAAGTGTATGTATGTGAAACCTCCACAAACCCTGTTCTACAGGGCAAATGAGGTTAACCTGTGACTGTGCAGCCAGAAACAAATTCCCCTGATCCTTTTAGATCTGAAGTAGCAGGAGGAAAATGATTCTTTGCTGGCACAAGCCAAGAGATGCAAATGGTCTGCACCAAGCTCTGCTTTTTGCATTAGTGGATGTGCCCTTTCCTCAAGAACAGCTGCTTGCTTGGTCGACTACTGAATTCTGCAGCGCCTTTATTTTTGCCCTGCTCACTCCTCTTAATCCACCTGAAGGCATTGGCCAGATTTTTATAAACACTCTGCTATTGTTTATTTTGCAGGCGTTACCCGAGGGGCAGACGGCTTCCTGGGATACGGCCAAGGAAGATGAAAACCGCAATAAGAACAGATATGGAAACATAATCTCCTGTAGGTGTAAAGTCACATTAAACTGAGCTTTCTGTAAGATTTTGTACGCAACCTGTGGAAAAGGGTGTGCTTGAGGATCTCGCTAAAAGCTGCTTTACAGTGCCGAGTGTTCAGTAGTTCAATCTGTTTGTTACAGGCTATGTGTCTATGATTTTTTTTTCATTTTATTTCATGGGGTTTTTTCATTGTTTTACATAAAGCCATTGCATGACTTTATGGGTTTTTTACGCATTTTCTATGTACCTTGCTTTGTGCTTAATATTTGTAATTTAAGGGCTAAATCCTTTTGTCAGATTTTTGCAGTGCGTGATGATGCCCATTTTCTGTCCATTTTTACTACGTGACCCGGAGCTTTCAGTGCCATGAACGGGAGCATAAAAGCAGACACAGATGTATGAGATTTTTAGATATGGATCAGACTTTCTCCTTCCTTGTGGTCAGTAACCAGTGGAGCTTGTCCCCAGAGAGCTGGTTGGATGTGTGGGACAAGCTTAGCTTCTGCCTCACAATCAGAATAAGGCAGCTGAAAATGCACTAAAACTTCTTAGTTTTACTTCTTTTGATAACCGATGACTGTTGATCTTAGAGGAATATTGATACATCGCAGAACTGCAGGGCAGCGAAGGACTCCGTAAAACCATTTAGGTCAGCTTTATTCTCCAACTCAAGACTAGATTCACCTCTGTCATTTCTATCAGATATTTGTGAAGCCTCTTCCTAACAATCTCCAAAGCTGAGCTTTCCACAAGCTCTCCAGGCAGCTTATCCTGGTGGTTCATTATTCCTTTCAATGACTGGGGAGAGGAGGTGTGAGAAGTAATTCTTTTTAAGGGCTGCTGAGCAACATCAAGTTGGAGAAGCTAGGCCTGAGACCATCAGAACAAGAAATAAGAATATAGATGAATGTGCCATAGATTTTCATGACTGGATAAATCTATAGAGCACTACAAGAGCAAAATTAAGTCATGCTGAGTGATATATTTAGTACTGTATTTTTTCTCAGGTTAAATATGTATTTCCCGTAGAACAAACAGACTTTACTAAAGAATTAAAAAACCCCAACCCTGGCCACAAAGAAAAATCATCCCACACATAACTAATCATCTCTTTTAAGACTTGAAAGAAGTGATTCATGTGCTTAGGGACATGGTTTAGTGGTGGACTTGGCAGTGCTAGGTTAATGGTTGGGCTTGATGACCTCAAAGGTCTTTTCCAACGTAAACAATTTTATGATTCTGTGTAACAGTTTTGGGGGAATGGCATAGAACAGCTCAGTTCAGGGACCCCATGGTAAAGATGAAGAAATCTGGAAATAAAGATCAGAAGTTTGTGAGCCCTGATCTGATCCCACTTCTGCTGCTGGGTTTCTGTGTTGGTTGTGAGCAGATCACCAGTTCCATCAGTCTTTGTTTCTCCATGTGGAAAATGGAAGTGATAGTACTGGAGTATTACAGGTAGTGTGAAAATCATCTCCCTTAACCTCAGCTGCCTAAAAGTTCCACCTCGCTGTAAGTTTCCTGTGTTCCTAGTGGTAAAGAGAGATACCTCCAGACAGAGGTTCAATTTATGGGTGTATACAATTAGACTAGATTAAATTAGTCTAAGACAGATGAATCATCCAGCTATACTAAGTACACACTGGACTGAAGATAGAAGTCCCATAGTATGATATAAGGAAGGAAACGTGAAAGACTCTCAATTTCTCTGCATGATTTTGAGGCAGCAGTTGACATAATGTAAAAGTGAAGGTGAAAAGAGACAAGACTGTGCGATAGCCACCATCTGATTTATGTTGAAGGTGGTCACACAGAAAACATTGAAGTCCAAGTGAAATGTGAGAAGAAATTAAGGAAGCAAAATCAAGGAAGATAAATGGGATATTATCTACAGGGAAGGTGTTCACAAAGGTGAATTGTTGTCTAACAAAGAGTGATGTTAGCCTTTTAGCTATAAATATAAATACAGTAGCAATACAGATAGAAGGTGATGCACTTGAATAAAAGAATGCAAAATGTAATCAAAGCTAAAGAAGAAGTATCTGCACAGTGTAGGACATCAGAAAAGAAACTCAAGTTTGAGGGGTGTTGGGAAAGATTTCAGAATGGGGTTGAGACGGTGGAAAGGCATAGATGAAGCAAGCAAGGTAGTGAAAGAGGGGAAGGATGCAGAAGAGTTGAAGGTAAATAACAAAGCTGAGTGGGTTTGCTTCGCTTCAAATGTGTATCAGAACAAAGAGTTTGAGGAGGAGACAACAGCTCTTCTAAAAGGCAGCAAGGAGAATTTAGTAATGTGCAATACAGAGTGATAAAATGGAGAGAAATCCGTGCTTCCCTTTGAAGAGGCTAGGGATAAGGAAGGGAGGACGCCTAAGGACGGGGCATGTCGTTCATCAGACATTTTGTAAAACCATTGGGAAATGATCAGTGGTGTCGCTGGCGAAGCCTTGAGCCAGACCCTGCCGATCGGTAACGTTGGGCAACTTCCCTCAGTAAAGGCAACGGCAGGATCCAGAACGGAGAATTGATGGCAGAGCTGAGACTAGCAGGAGAGTAGTTCCCTCTGGGCAGATTATGAGGACGGATTGTGCTCAGTGGGTACAAACTCTGCAAATGCCTGAACAGGGGATGGGGGGGGGTGGGGGTGGTGGAAAACGATTACACCCTTAGCTGCTTTGTTGTACTAGAATTGTAACTGCTGGTGAAACCCAGAGTAGGCGCTGATTGCTCCTACCAGTTTATTTGGTAAAAGGCTGCAGATGGCAGTTAACATTATTTATTTAACCGCAGTTGCCATTTCATCACTCCTGGAAAAAGATATCCCATGTCTTTTTCGGGAGTGAATTGAAAAGTCAGGTTTTGATCTAACTTTTGCAACTGCTTCAGAGGCTTTTGTTAAAACGTGGGTTTGTAAGCTCCTGCAATAAGTAGCATTGCTCAGTGAATCACGGCAGATTAGATCTTGTCTTTATGGCCTTCTGGGTAATAGTACACTTACAGGACTGTTTTACTCGGCTCACTGCTTTCCCAGGGCTGTATTAACATCGTGCCTCTCTATGAAAACCTAGAGCTTGCTGCCAGCCCCACCATCTGCTGTTCTTACATTTGCAAACCAAAACTGCAGATGAGGCTAATCTGTTCACGGAGAGGTGATGCGGGAGAGCTCTAAGCTCTCCCATGCTTTAAACCCTGGCTTTTCAGGAAGGGTTCCCTTCAATCTGCAACACTGGTAAGTTTTGGGGATTTTTTTTTTTTTTTTGAGAAAAGGAAAAGCTGAGGAGTGCATTTGGGGTCTGTATGACCACAGAAATCCACTGGTGATGATGGAGAGGTGCACTGTAATTGCACAGATTTGCCATGCTGGAGGAAGCTGCCCTAGTCGAACTTTTTATTATATTGGCAGAGTCCATGAGCTTTGTTCCTGTGCTTTGGGTATAAAAGTTGTAAACACAAGGACACTTGTGGAGATGCAAGATTTTTCTTTAGGGGGCAAGGGTAGCTAGTGTATCCGTTTGCTGAAGCGAAACGATTTAAATTTGCTTTAGGGCCTAGATATTGAGGCCTTCAAAGTGCATCAGCAAGTGGCTGTTAGGGGAGGGATGTTGAGCTTTTGTGGGTTGAGCTGAACCCATCACATAGAAGAGAAAACATCCAGAAGCTCTACAGGACCTTTGGTTCTTTTCTCCCCGTCTTGTTCAGATTTAGAGCCCTATAAGAGAGTAAAAACTCTCAGATGAGAGCTGAGGACGTAAAGACATAGGATTGTGTTTTGCTTTGACTTACAGGAGACCACTTTCTTTCCCTTTCTTTTCTCCCTTTACTGAGCATAATATTACAGGAGTGCTCATACCCAGGCTACTTCAGATGCATCCTCCCATCTGCAATGGAGCATCTTCCCACTTAGGCACCATGATTTTAAAGTCTTGTGCTGGTCTGTTAAAAACTAGGGAGATGATGACAAAAGACATTAGAGAAATTTGCTTCATTTCCTTCATGCTCTGCCTACCATATGCTTTGGGTTGGAAGACTGTGAGTTAATCAGAGAATTTTGTGGTGGAAAAGATGAACAGGAGAGAGAGCTTGACAGAGGTCTCAGGTGGAGTGCACTTCTTGGCCATGGACAGGGAGAATGCATAAAATTAAAAAACCTCACATGTCGGTATTGGATTTAGAATAGAATTTTTTTGTCTTCCAAGCGTTTTTATTCATGGTTTCTTCTGTAGTGCCCAAGCTCTCGCTGGCCTGTGCAGTGTCTGTGGTATGTGATCCCACCAGGGTGGGATATATCACACCCACTTCTCAAGGCGCAGTCCAGGACTAGTGAGGAGGGAAAGGGGAGGACTGTGTGCCTTGGGAGGGCAAATCATCCTTTGGTACCACAACTGGGTTGAATAATTTCAACAGATGTCTATGTTTCTCCATTGACTCTGCGGGGAACCTTGACAGCCGGTTTAGACGAGCTGCGTAATATTTAGATGGCGAAAGTTGTGTGAGATTAATCCAGTGCTGGTGTCAAAATGAGATGTGGAAAAATTGCAATGATATTTCAAATGATCACTAATGGGAATTTTGACAGAAGTTTGAAACGATAACATTTTTGTGATAAATTGGGAGCACAATGCTTTTCAGTGAAATTTTTGTCATTTTTTAAAATCTGTTTTAAGACCAATTTTCAGTCAAAGTACTCTTCATACAAATTTAGAGTTCTGCTAACTTGCATACAGACTGTAGTAAACAGGGTGAAATAAAATCATTTATACATTTGTTAAAGTATATTTCCATTTTTTACAGTCCTAAATGTTACAGGCATGCATTTTTTCTTCTCTTTCTTCCTCCATTTTTAAAGTTCCTTATAATCCACTTGTAACACACGGTGATATGATGTCTGATAAATTCACAGAAGAGTTGAGCAACGCTTTCACTTCAGTGTGCCAAATACGTAGTCTTCTTGGCTAGTGTAGTCCAGTGGAAAGGGTGCAGAATCAGGAATAGATTCTGACCGTTAGGAGAAGATACAGTGAAGACATTTGCTGTTCTATATAAAGTCCTTTAAAGTCTATAGATGAAAAAAACTAAGTACAAGATCATTACTGTCAGTAGCATAATAAGTTGCAGTGGTCTTTGCCCCTCTCTCTTTTTTTTTTTTTTTTTTTTTAAAAGCAAGCCAAATAAATTCCTAAGTTTGGAGGGGGAAGGGATTTACAGGGTCATTTCATGAACTTGTATTCATGAACTTGTATTCAGACTGTGCTCCTAAACTGATGAATGAGATTAAAGGCACCATTAAGACATCATTTTGTGTGCTTACCATATACAAAGATTTTATTTTTTTTTCTGCTGCACTGTTCACACTCATAAGAGAAATAAATCTCTCACAGGAATTAATCTCATTTTTGTAAACTATGCAATGAAATACTGTGAATTCTGTCCTCTTGAAGCAAAATTCAACTAAAAGTATTTTTCATTTGGTCCCTAAATATAATTGGACCTAAACCTGAATGTCTCCTTTTTTAAAAATATCATTGATTTACAATAGTGATTTCTTTGTCCCTTACTGTTTTTCACAGACAGAATAACCATATTTGACTTAAAGAGAAAAAAACAGCGATACTTTTGCAGCTACAGAGCATCTTTTCTTTATCCATAACTGTCTTAAATGCATAGACCTCTTCTGCAGTTTCCTTCTCTCTCCTTTCACCTCTGGCTCCCTCAGGAGGTACTCATCCTGTCTGTTTTAAAGTTTTTAACTAGAGTGGCTCAAAGAGCTGAAACTTAATTTGGGGGCTTGGCTCTATTAAATGAAGAGAGGCAGGTTCTTCCTTGAGGGCTAGTCAGAGCACTTCAGCTCCACACCGTGCATAGACAGTGTCTTTGTCCCACTTAAAAAATCAACCTGAGATTCTTTTCACCTGCTGTTAGGGTCATTTTTGGTCTCATCACTTTTTAGTTCTATTGTTCAATAAGTTAAGATTTTCATAACGTTGTTATATCTTGGCATCACAACAGGGGTTAGTAAACGTTCCTTTCCCAGCCATTAGCTCTAGGGTTGGGTTTGTGGGTTTTGTTTTTTTTTTTCCTGTGCTTTTGTTGTGGGGGATTCTGAACTAGCTTAGTTTCCTGCCTTGAATCGCAAGTGTGAAATTGTCTATGGGACAGGTTGTGTATTTCATCTAGATGTCCAGTTTAATCAGCTCTTTGTCTATCTTTGTGAATCGCTCTAAGTAAAAATTCTTTTGAAGTCTGTCTAACCACATGATTTACTGCAACCCCTCGTGCAGTTGCCTTGAGCGCAGGTAACTGTCTGGAGTCGGGAACAGCATCAGCACTGTACCTACTTCCACTGCGTCCACAAAGGTTATGTGTATTAATGCAAATGTAACAGAGCTTCTGATGGATTCACCTGCATAACTTCTTTTGAATGCTGATATGGGATTTGATAAATACAGCAATGGGGTTGTATTTTTGGGGTGTGAAAGTCTTACCCAATGGATGAAGAGGATGAGAATGATTGCCTTCCTTAAGCAAATGAGTATTCAATATACATCCAAATCTTGGGTTTCAGAAGTGCACGCACATCTGTCTTCACAAATATTGCCTGATTCTGCATTTAATTAAGTTATGACTAAAACCATTTTGACTCTGTTACTGTAGAATCACACCTCGTATTTTTATGTTTCATTGCTGTGATTCATTTTAATTGAATGTAAATCATGCCTAGGCCCATATTTTGCAAAGCGCTTCTAAACATTAATGCTTGACTAAGAGCTATGGTCTGCATAGCTGGTAGAGAGGAAATAAACTTAATGGACTTGATATTACCCTGCTTTTAAAAATCCTTTAGAAATGAGCCCAGCATGCCCAGCAGTGACCTCCGTAACCCAGTAGCCTTTGCTGAGCAACTGGCCCTTAGATGAGCAGTTCTGCAGTTAATTGCAGAGCGGTGCTGGGATTGCCAGAGCAAATCAGCTCCAGAGCCCAGCTCACGGGGTATCTCCTGTGATGGAGCCCAGCGCCAGCTGTTCCAGAGAAAGATCAAAACATTCCCTTGGTGGAAAATCAGGACATAATCTGCCCGCTGGGGTAGTTCCTTTCTGTGTCTGAACTGTGGAGCATCCTGGGAAGTGAAAAGATTGATATCTGTTATTTTCTTGCCTTATCTAAAGTAACTTTGAATGTCCTCAAAACCATGAACATTTTATTTTCTTTTAACACTGCTTAGCACTTTGTCTTGATGCCGATTTGCAGCCCTGAGTTCTGTGGGTTGTATAAAGGACCATTGCTCTCATTTCCTTTAATAGTTCCTTTCACTTTTCTGGGCTGCCCCATTTGTTATTTGCAGGATTTCATGTGCCATTTTACCCTCCGTAATCTTTTATACCTCTGTCGTGACCTATTTATTTTTATCCTGATCTTGACAGTTTTAGCTCTTGCCTCAGTTTCCATAGATCCGATGAAGCCGGGGAGGCTGTTACTTCCAAGTGTGAAGATGGCTTTTGTAACACAGAAACATCCTGCAAAGATCTGTCCCCAGACCCTCAAACCAAACGGTGATGGCCTGTCCGGAAGCTCTATCAGGGTTATGGTGACAGCAGTGAATTTAATGCATGCAGAGTATAAATGAACACTAACCTAACAATCTAAACGTTACACCTTAAACACAAAAGAAAGGGCTCGTAGGAACAGGAATACCTGTGATATTCTGTCATTTTTTATTATTGTGAGTATTCAGTTACCCACTTGCAGGTATCAGCAGATAAAATAAAACACTTAGAAAGTTTTCTTTATCGTTACTGTCACTTTTTTTTCTTTCCTTCTTTCAGATGATCATTCAAGAGTGAGATTGCAGCTGCTGGATGGGGACCCTCACTCTGACTACATAAACGCCAACTACATAGACGTAAGGCTCCTGGACATTCCTACTCTGACAAACACTCCTGCTGACAAGTCTGCTCATGAATTTGGTGCATCTTGCATAGGGACAGACTGTTGATATGATATGAGTGACAGCTGAAGATTATACAAACATCATGTTGTGACAGGGAGAAGGTTCTCGGTCTCCAGTTTATTCTCTCTGACCAATCTGGACAGATGGAGATTTCCTATGTTTGACAGATCCACCGACATCAGTGGAATGTGGGCTAAATGACGTACACGGAAATCGGTATCGGCCCCTCGCAATAGCGTTAGTAGATATCTGAGACTTAGAAACTTCTTACAAAGTTGCAGTGCAGAAGGCGTGTAAATAGATTGACTCCTTTTTTTTTAGTGTTATAAAATAACGTTCAAAAAACAGCCTCCCTCGCGCACACAGAATGATCAAATGAACATGCATTCCCTGTATGCAACTCCTAATTCTTAGGAACATGACGACATTCAGAAGATTATTTTTTTTCAGGGATGAAAAATACACCTAAGGAAGTTACACAGCATTTTCATGCAGAGCCAAATGCAAACCCGGCTTTCTTCTTTTTTCACACAAGGAGGTGCAGGCATTTAGTTTTCAGAGTTGCCCGCAGGTTAGTTGCAGGACTTGTGTTTCTTTGGGGAAATAGTGAAGCTGCCCCGTTCCTGCTGTCTCTTTGGCATATTGAGATCTTAGTATTCAGCCTGAGTGAGATACCATCACTTAAAATTTCTTAGGGCGACCTTCTTGCCAGTGTTCACTCGTTCGATCACCAGTGTTAGTAGACTGTTAAGGGGTGCAGCAGCTGTTGTACCCGGAAAGTACAAAATACTTGTTGTTGTGCTTTGTCTGAACCGTCATCTCGCAGACCATTGCATCTTTTCTTTTTTTCCAGGGGTACCACCGGCCTCGCCATTACATTGCAACTCAAGGCAAGTTCATTCTTATATGTCTAAATATTTGTAAAAGCATTGCTGTTTTAAACTGTTGTAAGAGCTGTTTATAGGGTGACACCTTCTGTTTTGGGGAATATCTGAAAACTTGGTATATGGGCACAAAAGGGAAGGCTATAGAACGTTCCAAGATCTTTAAGGCAGTCAAACACAAAACCTCAGCTACAAGAATGAAAAAATGCTACAGACTTAGAGGTGGCAGTACAATCTATAATGTGTCCTTTGTGCATGAAGTATGAGATTAGAACTAAGAGGGACTTTACGGATCTTGGGTTTACCTTCTGGAGTGAAATTGCTTGAGGACAGCAGTATGAATAAGCCTGTGACTGATGAACTTTTGGTTACTGGGAACTTGTAGAAAATACATTGAGCACCACCTTCTGTAAGTTAGTTGATGAGTTTCCTATGCCTTTGGGGGGAAAAAAAAAAGAAAAAAACCAACACAATTCAATGCTGAGGACTCTCCATGTTACATGACAAACCTCCCCACTCCTGTTTTGTTCAACAGGGTGCTGTTTTCCTGCATCACTGGCCAAACTCTTATGCCGTGACTATTTCCTCTACCATTATTTGTCCTCATTTTTGTACATTCCTTGCCTGCGAATGTGATGTTCCTAGAAATGACTCCAGTCTTAAATTCTGCTTTATGACTTCATTGTTGGCTGGTCCCTATTGAAAGAGAAAAAAAAAAAATAGAATAAACCTGACATTTGAGGATGTACGGGTATAGGGAATGCAGCAAGGCAGAGAACATGGAGAATGGAGTATGGGCAGAGTGGGTGAAAGGAGTCCGTGGGAGGATTTCCTCTACAGTGTAGAAGAGAGGAAGTAAACGAGGTCAGCGGGAAGCTCTACTCTAATAAATCTCTCGTGAGTACTGGCTGTTTGGCTGCTGGAACCTGAAATTTTTCTCTCTGGGAGAACTTCAGAAAAAGGCTAATTTCTGCGTGTTTCCTTCCTCCTTTGTAATTAATAAATAATACAGTGTGAAATGGAGGAATTTTAGTGCTGCATCAGGTACAAATTTCAAGACAGCCTTAATTACAGAGTCACTATAGGGTGCATCCATGTCCCATCACTTATGCATGATTGCCTCCTGGAGCCATCCCCAGTATATACAATACAGCCATCACCTCTGGTTCCAGCCTGCTAGAACCTGAAATACCACCTGCGAGGAAGCGTCTCATCTCTTTGAGAGCTCCAGGCTGTTTGTGTCCGTAACCCTGCGTCGCAGAGGGATGCTCTGAAAGGGAGAGTAGGGTCCTGTGGGAACAGGGCAATGGCTGGAGAACAGCTGAAAAGAGTTGCTGGCATTCGATACGCTCTCTTAAGATGTCCTTTTGACTTTTCTCCTGCCCCAGGGCCGATGCAAGAGACGGTGAAGGATTTCTGGAGAATGATTTGGCAAGAAAACTCTGCAAGTGTTGTCATGGTCACCAACTTGGTGGAAGTGGGCAGGGTAAGGATACCACTTTCCCAACATATAAAGCCAAACCAGCGCTGGATATAACACGGCACTGCTGTTCAAGCAAGCTCACCAAGTGAAATGCCTTTTGCTTACTGTAGTAGGGGAATGAATTGAGCCACTCTGTGCTTTTCTCTAAAATGGTAGATTTTGTAATACTTAGCTGCTTCCCTTCTAGACTAATAAGGATCATGTTCCTGGTGTAAGTCTCGGCTTTAGCAGAGCTATACAAATTTATGCTAGCTGAGAAGCTGTCTCCTTTTTCAGTACAGAAGGAAAAATGTTGTAATTATTCTTTATCGGTATAATTTGAATACTTCTCTACCCACAAAAATCCGGAGGGATGAGAGCGTGCGACTGGTGTTCAAACTATCATAAGAGCTCTTTAAATGACAGTTCAAAGCCTAGAGGTTCCAATCACTTCAGAAGAACTGTTCCGTGGTGGTGTGAGATTGTGCACAGCCAGATCCTGGGGCCACCCAGCAGCGCTGGCCACCTCCACGGCCACTGCTTGACTCTCTTGGACTCGGATGAACCAGAAGTCCCTGTGCCAGCACAAGGCAATTGCCAAAGCCCATGATGGGAGCAAATGTGGATAATTCGAAAGGCGTAGGCTAGACTTCGGGGAATAAGAAAAAAGCATGTCTGAGGTGGCTTTCCCCAACGTATTCTTCCCACTTCTGGCGGTCTTTGGTTTAGAGACATTCTCAGCCAGAAGCTGGAGCTCTTAAAAAATTTTGTCCTGATGTTTGTCATCTTCCATTGCTTTGGTATTAACAAAAATTTAAATGGCAGTTTACTCACAGCCATTAGTAATTCAGCTGCTTTGTATTTGATTTCCTTTAGATCTCGTGGTTGAATGCCAGCTGGTTCTGTTCATTTATTGTTATTTATTCTATTTTACCTTCTACTGACACTTCAGTTTGAAATAAATGCTTCTGCGTAAAAAAACCCAACAAACCTACATTAATCATATTTAATATTTATAAAACCCCTTCCAATTATAACTGGAACATGAAACCTGCTTCGCAGTAGCTAATTGCTTCAGCTTTTAGGTGCCGTTCCACTCTTGCATGCTAGAGTATTTAATAACTTGGTAGTCTTTGTTAGCTGAAATATCCCTTCTAGAGCTTCACAGCCTTGGCTTTAATTTCTACTATTAGTTTTGCACATGGCTTCTAGAAGTGGCTAAGCTTGGGATATGTTTACGTGATTGGGAGATTTCTTTCTTGAGTCTTAGCTGAGGCCTGTCACAGCTGGTAAAATGTCAAATTTGTGTCCACATCCGATAAGAAAAGCTTAGAGTCAAACAAATTTAATGTATCAACAAGTATCTCACAGTCCCTTTGAGCTGAAATTCTTTGGCTAAACAGAGAGAGTTTGGAATTACAGCAGCAATAGCAAGAGCATAGATTTTTCTCAAAGGGGATGATGGAAGTGCCTGCCAGGTATTCTGTAAACCTGATATATGTTCAGGGCATGTGTGGAAATTCAAGGAAGACTGTCTTAAAGAAGAAGAGCTAAATGCATCTCTTGCATTTGTATTGAAAACAGAGGAAACTGAAAAAAAAATAAAAATCCTTCCTCTGGTTTCTATAAATGGTAAAGGAATTTTGATCTAATTTATACGGTTAATTTTGACCAGATCTGTACATCAGAAGAAAGCGCAATTTGTGTTGTCTTCAGCTTGAAAGTGGAGTAAAACGTAGGTCAGCTCTGACTCAGCTGGAGCTAGTTCCTCTCAATATTTTCTCTTTTTCCCCCAGGTAAAGTGTGTTCGATACTGGCCAGATGACACAGAGGTCTATGGAGATATTAAAGTCACATTAATTGAGACAGAACCATTGGCAGAGTATGTCATACGCACATTTACTGTACAAAAGGTAAGGAAATCTTCAGTTAGCTGAAATTTCGATACAACACTTAATTTGTGTTCAGAAATGTGAACTCTGGAAAAAATATCCAGAATGCTCTTGGACATGTGAGCTGTTACTATTTGGACAGGTTTCGCTTTAGAAACCTAAATTTTTGACAGAGGTTCCAATTTTGGACAAATGATTTTACATGAACCTCTTGATGTAGCCACGGAAGTGGAATCCACAGTGTTTAAATGCATCCAAAAGCCAGCAGATAGCTGATGGTATGCCAGGAATAATAACTGTCGTGTTTCACAGTGGCAAGCTACAGATGAAAAAAAGGTATCAGTTAAACTGGATGCCAGGTTTGGGTTCCCTTTCAACAGAAATAAAAATATAATAAAGGCAAGAGTATAAAAATTATCCCCAAATCGGCAGGATTTGGAAGATTTTTGTTACGTGTAAGTAGAAATTGGAAGTCTAAATGTCGGAGTATTCCAGGTCTGTCCAAATTACTCTCCAAACACTCAGTAAGTGGTTTTAAAGCTTTTCAAAAAATCCTGCTAAATGAACTTCAGCCACACTGGGACCATTGTTCCAGTTTTCTAATACGTCAGCTCCTTATTTCATTTAATCACTGACAAACTTGGTAAGAAAAGCTAATGGCAAAATCTGACAGGTTGGAGGACCTGCTGCTGGACTCCACGTAAATGTTCTGTACGATAAAATGTCACGGGCCAACTGATGCGTCTGTGTTATCCTTTGCAGGGTATAGACAAGTCAATTTACATGTACCAATAACTCATCAGAAATACCAGTTTCTGCCCTTTTTAGCACCAGCTGTAATCTCAAACTGAGACTTTTTGGCAGGAGGTGGCAAGAAATCTGCCGTTGCCTGTGCCATGCCCGCTCTCTAGGGGTTCATTCCCCAGGCTGTTGCTCCAACACCTCAAAAAGGTATTTAGGAGTGACTTCTGGGTGGTTTATGGCAATAACCCCGAAGGAGGCTGGATGAGTGCAGCCATGGTATGCTGGGGCCGAAGGCACCCTGTACAGTTCCTAATCAGCTGGCTTTGAACTCTGAGACAGCGAGTTGGAATTGGGAGCTGGCGTTCACCTTCACAGTCCTCAGTTACATGTTTCCCATTTCATTTGCACCTCATTTGAAATCTCTCGTAGTGAAAAGCAGCGCAGGACACGTTCCCGCGAATAATGAGAGCTAAATGCTTGTTCAGCCCTCTGCGTGAGGGAAGGGAGCGGTGATCAGGCTGTGCTGATTGCGGTCTGATGAAAGAAAAATAGAGGCTGTGTTGTCTCCTCAGAAAGGCTACCATGAGATCCGAGAGATTCGGCAGTTCCACTTCACCAGCTGGCCGGACCACGGGGTTCCTTGCTACGCCACCGGCCTCCTTGGCTTTGTTCGTCAAGTGAAGTTTCTCAACCCCCCAGAAGCAGGACCCATCGTTGTGCACTGCAGGTATGTGAGCTCTTTGTCTGAGTCCTTCTGCCATCAGGTTTTTCAGCTTTTTTTTTTTAATCTATTTTCTTCGTGTCTGGCAATAACCAACCACATTTTGTTTGTTTAAGAGTATAATTTGTGTGCCTCATGAGGAAACAAAGTGGAATTTGGTTTTCTATTCTGAAGTGTCAGCGCTGGAGCTTAGCTGGCGTGAGTTGGAGATAAGTGGGTCAGAGACGGTTGTTCGAATGTAGAAGGCTCTCTGGTGGCCTGTACTCTCTTAGATGCTCATAGCAGAGCTGGGAAAATGGTAAATATCTGAGACAACCATTCCAGTCGTTGTCTACAACAAATGTCATGTGCAGAAGGGACGATGCCCACAAAAAGACAGGGCTACCAACGGGGAATTTCAAAGCAACTTTGCTTTTCTTTACCCACGTGCACTGCAGTTGAGCTTTGTACCAGCAGCAATAGTCTTATCTGAAACGTTGGTCTGTCTTGCTGGGTCTGGATGGCAGCTGGTCTGCATCTTGGCCTCCTCAAAGCCCAGGAGCTGGAATGGGAACATCAGGCTGAAAACCTGCTGAGTGCCTTCCAGCTAGTAAATAAAAGCGGAGTGCCTGAGGAAACCTCGCAGCGGTGAAAATTCAGACTGCTGAACGGCGTGCTTGCTAACTCCCCGGCTGCTGCTGTTCCTGGTGTGTGCTCGTCACCACTGTCTTCTTCCAACCGAGCTTAGAGCCCCACTGTGCAAGGCAGTACGTGAATATGTCGGAGAGTGTCCCTGCCATGAAGAAGTAACAGTTTGAGGTGTGATCAGGCCTGGTGCTGGTGCTGGGACAGCAGAGGCACACACAGACTGGCATCGGAGCCAGGGGCAGAAACCAGGGCTCCTGACTTTGACTCTCATAATTGTCGTCAGGTTTCTGTGTCAAGTTGCAGTACAAGAAAAAATTTGAGGAGGGCTTATGGTGGATTGGATTACTGGATTATATAATTTATGATGAGGATGGTACATTGTGAATCAGAATGAGATGACAAACCTCAAAGAACTTGCTGTATTTAGTGAGTGTTGGACGTGGTAAATGTCCTTTCCTCTGCTTTAAAGTGAAAACCACTGCAGTTAAGTAAACCCTCGTTATTATATGACTTCAAATGCAAAGACATTGCTACAAAACCAGAGTTTGGGTTTGTAGCAGCTACTTCTGCAGTGCTCGGGCTGCAGCTCAGGGCACGTGTTCTGTAAGGGAGACGTGGCTGGAGCACAGGGCTGGCAAACAGAGGTGGCCATCCCAGCATCTCAGCCCTGGTCAATCCACAGGCCCTTACATCCAAGTGCCATGCTCTGTCATCAGGAAGAGAGAGACAATACATCCCACCACCACTTTAAAAAGGAAAGCCAATTAAATCTTACGTTTTTTTAAACAGCTTTGCCTTTGAGGAGCATGTTTTGTTCTGTCAGGGTTTTTTTTAGCAAGCAATGAATCAGATGTATAATAAAATATAGTTAAGCCCAAGGAGCTGGCAGAAGGGAATTCATACAGAGCTCAGGGCGTGAATTTGCTACCTCGGTGCCATGACATGGGTCTGGCCCTAGAAGGAGTCTGAACCTGATGCATTGTCACCAAGAAAGCAAGGAGAAATTTTTCATCCTTCACATTTTAATGAATAAATGCCATTTCCTCTCTGTTATTTATCTGCTTTTGAATTTTAATGACTTGCTTTAAGTGGTAATTACCAAATTCTCCCTACCGATGCCTGGCTGGATAATATCACTGTTCGATATTTATGAAGTGCCAGGATCCTCTAAATATAGAAATGTTATAACTATTTGTTAAAATTCTGAAAAGCTGAGAGATAAAGGGAGAGGAAATGCCACTTATTCATTAAAATTCTGCAAATGAAAAATATCTTCTCTCTATTCAGCAGTTGATTAATCTGGTCCATTAATTTATGGTCATTCATATCTCCTTGCTTTCGGCTCTGCTGGAATTTTCGTGCAACTGAAGTTTCCCTGATTTGAGCTGAGTTTTCCTTCTTCCTTCGGAGTAATGTGAAGAGACATTCTCCTCTCTCTATCCTTCACACCTAAACAGCTTGGATGATTTCCCAGGAGGGAAGGAGGACACGATGACAACACAGTTTGCAGGAGATGGTCCAATTCTCGCAAGCAGCGGGGGGCTCTAAACTGAAGGCTTTGAGTAGCCTCGGGCTCCTTTCTCTATAATTTTACAATCTACAACTTGAAATCACCCTCCTCCGGACCCAAACTCCTCCTGATTAAAAAAGGAAAAGAAACGTTTGAGGTGGAGGACTTGAGCCCCTTTCATCATGCCCACTTGAGTAAACGTGTGTATGCCTTTTGAAGAGTCCCATAGAAGAAAATTTCTGGAATTGTGTTTATTTGCAACCTGGAGGCTGCTCTCCCACATCCTGTGTGATGAGAGGTGTGCAGCTGAACCAACCTGTAAAATCATAATGATTATTTTCGTAGAGTAATTTTTCTGTTGATGTTCAAGAACACAAACCTTTTTTTTTCCTGCTACCTGGCTCCATTTCCCTTTCAAGAAATACTATTTCACCTCGTTCTCTTAAATCCTGAGCTAATTTAGCTACATGCAAAAATCAGCCCATTAGGGAGAGGGGAGCAGCTTCCAAGAGACGAGAGCTGTGTCTGTGATACAGGTATTTTCTCCTCCATAACACCCTGCCTCTCCACTGTCCCTTGATCGTGCAGCCCCTCATGGTTTTTTCTTTTTTGGTTTTTTTTCAGTGCTGGTGCCGGGAGAACAGGGTGCTTTATTGCCATCGACATCATGCTTGACATGGCAGAGAACGAAGGCGTGGTGGATATATTTAACTGCGTGCGAGAGCTGCGATCCCAAAGGGTCAATCTGGTGCAGACGGAGGTAGGTGCCAGCAGGTCTCCTCTTCCGATGTACTGCTTTTCTGTCAGCTTCTCTGCTCAACAGGAGCCCAGCAATTCATTAAGTCAACGCTTGCTTGCTCTGTGATGTGATTATACAGAACTTTCGGTGGCTAAACATGACCAGATGTGCACCGAATCACATTTACTGGCAGCTACTCGGGGCCTCCAAGATGGGAGGGCAAACCTTGAAGTTTAGGTCTTAGCATTGCTGATTAATTTTATTCTCACGGTAGAAAAAAGCTGGCCTCTGAATCCTCTCATGACTCATTCATAGGTGTACTGCAGACTCAAATAGTACCTGGTTTACATCGGTTGTGAGCTAAACAAATGAAACATCCTTGATTCAAGCTTTGAGTGTTGATTAAGCAAGCTGCTCCATCACGTAGCATCTAGCAGCTTTTAAACACCAGTTTTTCCTGTGTGCTTCAGTGCCTTCCCCTCCCGAGGAACAGGACGGTAGCGTGGAACAGAGAGGAGCTTTCAGCTTTGCTAGACTTCGCGTATTTAGTTCAGGGAGAGAACTTTACCCAGAATACCAAGAGTCCAGGGGTTTTGAAGAGACAGACTGTTAGTACAGTTGTCTCTCTGGTGTTGTCATAGGTCCAAAGCACAATCCATTCCTGGCCATTGCCTCGTGATTGCGAACCGAAAAGCTTTACACCCTGATTTCCTCCTCAGCCCATCCCCATCTTGTCTCAGTGTTCCTGAGAGTGGTGACTTCCCATTTTACTTGTAAATTGGAAATGAATACATGAGACCTCACATTCAATGATGGATGAAATATGCTCACAAAGCTGTCACATAGCACACTGTGTAATTTGTCTCCACATGAAACAGAGCCAAATATGCATATTGGGCATGATTTAACGAAAAAAAAAAAGAGCATGATATTTCATGATCTGTATTGAAAATAGGATTTTAATATCTTATCCCCTCCCCTATGCAGGAGCAGTATGTGTTTGTCCATGATGCCATTTTGGAGGCGTGTCTGTGTGGCAACACCGCCATTCCAGTTTGTGAGTTCAGATCCATATATTACAACATCAGCAGACTAGATCCACAGACCAATTCCAGCCAGATAAAAGATGAGTTTCAGGTAATTTCATACATTGCGGTCATTGCAGTCGGCGTATTGAAGGTGTTTATCAATTTCTGTGTGTTATTTTACGACTTCCAATGGAGTAGAGAAGGGGAACACTGAGCCAAAGTCTGATTTCAGCTGATTTTTGTTGTTTTGCTACTGGATCAGGCAGAGATTTGTTTCTGAGCATGGACTTTTCAGCCTTTGGCAAGGAGAAAATTTCCCCATCATTTCAGTAGAGCAAGAGTACTAATTTTCACACATAATGTTGTACTTCTCATTTCAACAAATATTCTGTTGTTCATTTTCTTCTGTAATTTATGCAGAAACATTGATGCCTCAAGGTCCCTTATTACCCATTCTCGTGGCTCAGATGCTACTTCTGAGTCTTGACAATCAACTTGTTGACGTCCTTCCATGCCAAGGAGAAAGTGAGCTCAGCGAGCATTACTTTATCACTAATTATCAATGAGCTGAATCCCTGAGTTCACTGTGTATGTTTTACCAAGTACCTGGTGGGAAGAACTGAAATGACAGATAGCAAAACTCACAAGTGCTGGAGTAGCGCAGTTTGCCTGGGGCAAGCGATGAAATGGGGACCTCTCCACCTTTTGCTATCACCATTGCTTCTCCCACCCTAATGAATGGGCTTGGGATGCACGAGCCATGAGCCCTGTGCGGTCGTACCGCTCGCACAGTAGAGAACTCACCCTGCAGAACACTGAACTAAGTTCTTCAGTCTTATTCCCCAGGTATCTGTAAATCCCTTTAGGATTTTCAGCCAACACTGATGTATGGAAAAAACATAATATTGTGGGAAATTTGGGACAAGGTGAGTTTGACAGGAAAAAGAGACCGACCTCTGCTATTAGTTAAGAGGCCATTCTTCTTAGTCAGCAGTGAAAAGGTGGATTCCTTTAATTGTAGGAAATGTCCACCACCTTTCCCAGTAAAGTGTCTTTTGCAGCAAGAGAATTTCTTCTGGGAGCCCCAGGCTGAGTCAGATGCCTCTCTTCCTCCCCCTCTATGCGAAGGGAGAATGTGTGGTTTTTATCTGAAACCTTACAGGGAATCATCAGGGTTGGTACAGCGAGATAAAGCATGTGGATCCCAACTGATGACAGTTCAATTAAAAAAAGATCTGTTTTTATCAAGTGATATCAGATCTGTAAAAGTGTTTCTGGTTCTGGACGCATGGCATGAAGGAGCCGAAGCCTAACTTTATCAAATGCTGTTATGCTATTAAAAAAAAACCAAAACAAAACAGCCACTGCTTGCTGGGCTTATTTTGTCATGATAGGAGACGAGATTTGTCGCCTGTGTGCTTGTTCTTTTGAGCTGCCAGGGGCTGGCAGCTCCTGTGGGAAGGAGATGCTCCACCGTACTTTGCATAAGACATTCATTCTCTGTCTAGTTGTAGAACCTATTTTTACAGGATTTTGGCTCAGAGCATTCTTCAGCTTTAATTGTCTGGATTTAATGCGAAAGATGGTATCTTTTGCTACAATCTTTATGAACCAGTCGATCTAACTGTAGATCTGTTGGTGCAGTTTGTATTATTTAGGTCCCACTGGCTCTCAGGTAAGGCTCTGGATGTATTTCTTGTGCACTACGTGTTGTCTGAACATGCAAAAGCTCATTCTGGGGAGTTTTTATAATCTGAGTACAAAAACGAGAGAGGGGAAGGGCATAAAATAGACAGGAGTAAATCACTAACAAGTCACCTGCCTAATTATCTGCACTGTCAGAGATCTGAGATTTCACACCAGACTACCTGTTTCCCATATCTAGACAAAGGGACTTCTATGTAGGACCTGCATAATTTAGAGCAACTATATTGTTTCAAATTTTATACTTTGACACATTCCTTTATCTTGGATTGTTTGACCTTCCTCTTTTCTCCATTCATATCCTCTCTGTGGCAGAAGTCAAGCTCTTTGTAAGAATTTTTGGCCTCTAAATATTTCATGTTCCTTTGATGGCTGCAAAGCAGGTCACTGTATGACTGCATGGGCTTGGTCAGGAAGAGGACACATAATAAGTGAAAGTAGAATGACATCAGAGAGCCACTGATCTACCACGACTTAAGTGACAGTGTTAAGATGTGTTCACTTTGATTTGTTATTTTTGATCCCTGCTGACCAACCTGGACTGGTTTGTCAGGAGGCCTCCATAACGGATAACACAAAAGAAAATTAGATTTAAAGAAATACAGTTTGTCAAGCTGTGGGAAAGACAGATAACGGTAAAAGACTGACGGCAAGCTCCAGAGATAAGGTATGACTATGTAAGTGAAGCATCCTATGTGTCACTCCGAAAGGAAAGTAGCAATCTAAATAATGTAGGAAACAAATGGAGTTTTCTGTTAAAAATCCCCCAACATTTTATCTTAGGTTTTTATGTGCGTTGTTAAGATAAATCAATAGTTTGACTGAGGAATCACCAGAGGATGTGAACCCAGTCTGACCTGCTGGGCGAGCCAGGTCAACACCCAGGGTACTTCTGCACAGGATCCACTTGAAGAGGGAGAAGGACGCGTGCTTCCACCCTAGGGATGGCAGAAACACTACGCGGTTTTGCTCCCTTACCAGGTTAAAGCTGCAACTTGTACGTGTGACAGCTATTTCCAACCTCTAGCAAAGAACAGAAATGTTATCTAACTGCTGTGGGGTTTTAGAGCTGGAAATTGTTGGAAGGTGTATAGTGCCCTCAATTTTTGCTGGAGCTTACGGTTTTCAGAAGGGCACCTCAGGATGATGTGCAAAATGCAATGTATTGTAACAGCAACAAGTTCCTCAGTGCTCTTTCTTTTTCATTCTCTGGGATCCCAGAGATCTGCTAGTCTAAGTACCTTTAAAATAAACGTATTGTGCAGATGGCATCCTTCTTGGAAATAAATTCCAAGACACTCAGCCTACTTCTGTCTTTCTTTCCCTTCCTCCCTCCCCCCTTCACAGACTCTCAATATTGTTACACCGCGTGTTCGGCCAGAAGATTGCAGCATCGGTCTTTTGCCAAGGAACCATGACAAGAACCGCTGCATGGATGTGTTGCCCTTGGACCGGTGCCTGCCTTTCCTCATCTCCGTGGATGGCGAATCAAGTAACTACATCAATGCTGCACTCATGGATGTAAGCAGCACTGCGCTGTCCCCACTACCCCTACTCTGCATCGAGTTTGTTCATTCTCAGGATATTTTTCTGGGAGAAAGGGATGAAAAGCAAAAAAAAAAAAAATTTTGCCTGCAGTTTCTGGGGCTGACATCTCCAAACAGGGCAAAGGCACAGTGAAATGTGTCTCCTAGACTATGATTATCACGCTACTGGTGTAGTTCTGCCTCACATTGGTGGCAAATTTTTGACAAATAAGTTTGTGAGCATGCAGTCTGAGGTTGTATTGTAGAAAGGCAGATGGACAAAGAAGTGGTGGGACAACTCTTCCCATACGCTGGTTGTCACATAAGTTGGAAGAGAAATGTTTGCCAGGAGCTGCCGGGTCAGCTCTTTGAACAGAACAGTTTGCAGCATGGAGCGAGTGATTTATTTGAGCTTATGCAGTTAAGAAGATGGGAGTACAGGGATCAGATGTGCAAAATACTTTAAGGCAGAAGGACATGAGTTAAGCTGATGTCAATCTGTCTGACAGCATTTTCCCTTGCTTTGTTTATAGGCTAGAATCTCACAGCACAGGTCATTGGTATAGGGTGAATTATGTTGATGGTTTCTTTTCGCTGTGGTGCCTTTGGACAGAGATGTCTTTAAAGCCACTAATTATTGCAGTTGGAGTATGTATAAATATGATCCAGGGTGAAATGTCATCATTTTTTCCCTAGCAATGTTGGGGTCGGTCTTCTTTAATTTTGGCTGTTCTTTCAGTCTTTGGGAAACAGTGATGCTACTGCATTTAAGAGGTTAAGTCAAATGGTCGTAGAAATAATTTTAGAATTTTTTCAGAAAGATTGTGATGTTTTCACTGCAAATATGCCTAACTTTTTTTTTTCTTTAAAGTCTGTTATGTGCTTTGGCAAATCCACAGAAGCACAATTTAGTCTTCTGTGGTTTCTTAGGGACTGGGAATGTGTTTGCACATTTCAGTCCTCATTACCTCAAATCACTTTGCTAATACTCCTATCCTTCCCCACAAAATTCCTGCAAATTAAAGTTTTTGGTACAAAGGAATTTTTCACCCCTCATTGAAATTCAGCCACTGTGATGTTCTCTGGCTCTCCTTTATCCTTCCATAGAGGAATTAGCAGCTTTTGAAAAAAAAGTAATTAGAAGGGAACAGCCAAAATCCCACATTTTCCTAGGAGTTCCTGTTGCGGACAGACCTTGCAAATTCTTTGTCTTTTCGAGTAGCTTCATGTCTGTGGTCTTGTACTGAGCATGGACTCTTACAAGAGATCATCCATCCCATATTGCCTTGAACTGTCATTAGTTCTTTCACTGTGTAGAGACAGGCACGTGCTGGGGAACACTTGACAACACGTTCCCAATGCTGATCATTTCATTTACGGGTTTCTCATGTTCATCTCTTTTTTTTAAACTTCTCCCCAAACCTTACTTGACTTGCAGCTTACTCCGTGTATTACATGAAAGCTCTGATGGAAGAAGTGCTAGAGCAGGAAGGGATGGTGGTACACCTAGAATGGGTTACAGCCTGGCTTTGGAAGCATGAGTTGTCCAGGAAGGCAATCTGCTCTGGCCTGTGTTCACCAAAATTAACATTAGACACAGAACATCTGCAAAATGGTTTGTTAAGAAGAAAGGAGAAATACTGTCCCTCACCTTCCCCTAAAACAATTCAACATAATCCTTAAGCAAAGAGACTGTAGCCACATCTCCGAGTCAAGCCATACAGAAGTGGTGATAGGTTTGTATTCAGTGCATGGGACTTGGAGAAAGATGTGAGTCCATGTCGTGTCCCTGGCATCATCATTCCTCCAAGATCCTGCACAAGTTCTCTTCCATGAGCAATTCACATCTCTGCGTCACCTTCCCTTTAAAGTAGGACAGTGAGCCTAGTTCCTCACCTGTAGCAAAAAACCCCTTCAGCCAACAGTTTAGGCAAATCTGCTATATTGGTCCACAATGAAAAAACATAACAGAAACATTGTGATGTTCTTAATGCTAATTAAGAAGATAAGATTCACTATTTTGTTTACCACTCTGTTGCCACCCTTGGTCTGGTACAACACAGCTTTTGACCCATACTGGTGCTCCTGCGTTTGAAATACAGAGTAAGGAGAAAGAGGAAAATCCGTTCCAGACTGATCATTTCCCAATGAATCATTTCCTTTTCCTTCTCTGTACTTCATGTCCCATCACGCTTCTCACACACGCACGCTCAGAGCATTGCGCAGCCACCCTGCCAGCTGGTTTGGAGCGTACATAGCACCTTCTCCCCCTCCCAGCATCGTCTGCTCAGCACTTCCACCCACATCGGACTCGTAAGGAGGAGAAAAAGCAAACCCCCACAACAGCCATCTTAATACTTTGGGGTTTTATTTATTTCTTTACTTGAAATCCAAAATCTTAATCTGTTTGCTTTACTTTTTTTTTAAAAAAAGCAGAAATACTGTGCGTTTTGATTCAAGTCTGTTTCGCAGATGTACAGCTAAAGGACTGTGCAGTTTGCAGGCTCATCTAAGCATTGCCTGGCACAGTTGGAAAGCGATAAAGTTTTGAGCTTGTACCCTTTCATCTCAAAGTGCCTCACAAACATTCATTAACACAGCCCCGCAGAGGTTAGGAGCGCAGTTCCTCCCCTTTGTGGTCAGGGCAATTGAGGTCAGGGCTTTTTTGAGGTGAAAGAATAGCATCAGAAATTAAATGCCAGTGTCGCAGGCTCTGAACGTTGCCCCACAAGCTCTTAAAGGATGGCTGGGATCCAAACGTGCCACCTCGTAACACTGCATCACCGGGGAGCAATAGCAGACGGGGGTTAATCCCTTCTCTACTTCCTAGGGTCCATTGCAGCAAAAAGGGATAGCATTTGCTTCCAGCTGGTTTCTGTCCAATTATTACCATTACTGATAGTAGTAGTAGTAGTAATAGCAGAATTAGTATTATTTGCTGAGTCTCAAAATATAAATAATTGATTTGGGTAATCTCTGCTCTTGTGACACTTCTTTAATGAAATGTCTTCATTGGGAGCAAAAGAATCCCATTATGAGACGTTCATTCATTGCAGAGCGATAACAAGGAGAAGGATATGTGATTTGTATAATCTGGTTAAATGGCTCAGATTGCCTAGCCATAGCCTCCCGGGTATAATATTCGTTTGAATAAAAGTTGATTGAATTTTTTTATTTTTTTTTTTTAACTAATCTTATTCTTTTGTTAGAGCCACAAGCAACCTGCTGCCTTTATTGTAACCCAACACCCTTTGCCCAACACCATAGCAGACTTCTGGAGGCTGGTGTTTGATTACAACTGCTCCTCTGTTGTGATGCTGAATGAGATGGATGCAGCACAGGTAAGTGATTTTTCATCATTTCTGTCATGTAACTTTCTGCTCAAATCCAGATGGTTTTAAGAGCATTTCTGCTGCCATTTTCTTGTGCCCCCTACCTCAATAAATAAATGAAGGGGAACTGGAAAGTAGTAGTTAATATTTTGGGGTATAATGAAGAATAAGTCCACATGCTTGGCTCCTTCTCAGGCAGCTAATTCTTACTGCACTTAACAGGGACATCTAAATACGTTGTATTTGTGGGCCTCAATCTTCCTCCCAAACCTCCTTGTCATGTTTTTGTCTGTCTTTGGTTCAGAAAAATGTTTCCTACCACAGCCCCGATGTGCTTCGTGCTGCCCTGTTCACATGGCATTTCCAGAAGAATAAAACCAAGAGAAATGCTGAAATCGTTCAAAGGATCTTTTCCCTGAGATTTCCAGTGCAGTTCTGTAATACTGAGAGGTGTGATTTGCACAGTTTCTGGAGAAGCACGTTGTGCCGTGTATTTTTTTTTTCTTTGTAGTATCACGTGTAAGTTGTTTCTCTGGCTACTAAACACACCATTATTTTCAGGAGTTGAGCTTGCCAGGGAGGAGCCGTTGCAGTTCCTCCTGTGCTGGCATTTCCAGCCACCTTGCTGATGAGTGGCAGAAGATAACAGCTTTCAAAAAGGCGTAATCATGCAATTTGTGTGAAGAGTACATTTGGCATGGCTAATTCACCCATTACAGCACTTGTTAAACAAGAGGAGAGGAACCCTCAAGTGGTTGGTACTTCATGGATTAATTTTTCATTTGTCTCTTCTCTGTCTTCAAAATCTTCTACACTTGAAGGCAGTGAGATTATTGGTCTCTTATTTTGAGGGTAATGGAGAAACCAATCACCCCATTCAGTGAGGGGATCTCCCTTCAGGGTGAACGCTCTGGGATTACACTTCCAGGCGCAGCAGGAGCTCAGCTCAGAAGTGGGCTCTCTTGGTGACCCGCAGGGTCTCACCACTGCGAGGGACTGGAGGTCCTGTGCAATTGCTGCCTCCTCTCTGATTCACCTTGCCTGATGCTGTGTCTTGGCATTGAATGCAGCGACAAATGTTGTCTTTTCCTTTTTTTCTGACACTTTAAAGAAAAACACAGCTTTTTCTGGAAATTACATGCTTTCTCACACTTCATCCTTGGAAAACACAAACCTAGCAGCCCCAGCCAGTGTTGTTCTTGTGACTCTCTTTCTGCACAACACATTAACCTGCTTTGGTTTTTTCCTAGCAAAGTTTTGTTTTTATGAGGTAGTCTGTAGGCACAGAAAAGGAGATTTGGCGTTGTGTAACGTCACTTTGATGGTTACTCTAGCATGATGTCACCTAGCTCCAGCCTGCAGCTGGTGCCAAACTACCCAGCTAGCACTGGAAGTTAAGGATGATTTTAAAGTTTGTATCTTATGAGTTTTCAAGGCAAGGTGTGGCAGTTTGATATCATAGAATCATTTAGGTTGGAAAAGACCTTTAAGATCATCAAGTCCAACCATTACCCTAGCATTGCCAAGTCCACCACTAAACCACGTCCCTAAGCACCACATCCCTGTGTCTTTTAAATACCTTCAGAGACAGTGACTCCACCACTGTTCCAACGCTTGATAACCTTTTTGGTGAAGAAATTTTTCCTAATATCCAATCTAAACCTCCCCTGGCACAACATGAGGCTGTTCCCTCTTGTCCTATCACTTGTTACTTGGGAGAAGAGACCAATCCCCACCTGGCCACAACCTCCTTTCAGGTAGTTGCAGAGAGTGATCAGGTCTCCCCTCAGCCTCCTGTTCTCCAGACTAACCAACCCCAGTTCCCTCAGCCGCTCCTCATCAGACTTGTGCTCCACACCCTTCACCACTTCACTGCCCTTCTCTGGACACGCTCCAGCACTTCAATGCCCTTCTTGTACTGAGGGACCCAAAACTGAACACAGAACTTGAGGTGCGGCCTCACCAGTGCTGAGTACAGGGGGATGGTCACTGTCCTGGTCCTGCTGGCCAGGCTATTTCTGACACAAGCCAGGGTGCTGTTGGCCTTCTTGGCCACCTGGGCACACTGCTGGCTCATATTCAGGTGGTTGTTGACCAGCACCCCCAGGTCCTTTCCCGCCAGGTGGCTTTTCAGCCACTCTTCCCCAAGCCTGTAGTGTTGCCTGGGGTTGTTGTGCCCCAACTGCAGGACCCAGCACTGAGCCTTGTTGAACCTCATACAGTTGGCCTTGGCCCACGGATCCAGCCTGCCCAGATCCCTCTGTAGAGCCTTCCTACCCTCCCCGAGATCAGTTGTGAAAGTGATGTTTCTGAAAAGGAAACTTAGTGATGTTGTGCTTGCACTGTCATTATATGACAATGCTGTAATTATCTACCTGCTCCTCATTGCCTAGTCCAAGCGCTGTACCCTAAGCACTACGAAACTGTTGGTGTACAGTTGCCCGCAGATACCGTATTTCTGTGCATGAGCGGAGTGCGTTACCCATCTCCATGAGTAGAACACAAATACAAAAATTCCTTATATAAAAGCTGTGCCTGAACTGTAGAGAGGAAAAGAGTTAAGATAGATAGGTAAGTGAAACCTTTAATCCACTATGCAGGGAAAAGGTGCAAGTAAAACCGTGTGGAGGTCAGAGAACATAGCAGACAATTTTAAGCACTGTACATACAGGTACATTTGGGTTTGAGTAGATGGCCAGTCACAGACCTGCTTTATGAAAAGCAGATTTTCAATATTAAGGAAAGGTTTAATCTTTTTCTTCTTTCCAATGCGCCTTGAGGTTGTTTCCTAAAGCACCTGCTCACCTCAAATCTCCTTGCCTGGTGGACAGATGCTTTGCGAGGAGATCTGTGGGCTGCTTGAAAGGCTGAATGAAGAGTAAAGACAACCTTCAAAGGAGGACTTGCTTATGTGGTCTTGGCTGGCTTGCTTAATCTTGAAAAACTAACAAGGGCAAAGATGCATAAGATTGCATGAATATCCCACCCAATTTAAATCCCATATGATCAAAGGAATAACAGGAATACAGAATGAATGCGGTAGCATGCACACGCTTGACGTTATTACTGGCAATGATTGAACTTGAAAAGCTTGAGATCAAGTTCAAATGAGCATCTGGGGGTTTCAAAACTTCTAAAAAATTACACTTGAAAATAAGAAGAAAAAAATAGAAAGAAATACAATCTCAGCAGAAACTGCTAATGAGATCTCATGCAAAATATTTTCTCGCCGTGATCTATTTCCAGATGGATTTGAAATACTTAGACTGTAATTTGTGTGGATAGGAATTTTTTTTTTTTTTTTTTGTACTTTCAATTCGGTAATATCAGCATAAGAAAAAAGACTTCCTACCTGCTTTACAAACTTCAGAGATTCAGTTGTGGTTCACCCTAAAATCAGAGTTGCTCTTGTTGTTCTCAGAGCAAACTCGTTCTCCCTCCCCTGCTCGCTGGTACAATCAGAAAGCTAAAAAGTTCATTTTACAGAAAAAAAGAAGTTCCATTTTGCTTCAATGAAGATTAATTTTCTTGTACTGTTTCCTCATTAACACCAAACCTCTGTGGTTCCTATTAAATTTACCTACAGACACTAATCTTTTAATGTTCATTTTAAATCTATACCCCTACAGAAGCTTCATTTGTCAGCCACCTTTTCTGCACCTTTAGACCCCAAAATTCAATCAGTTACAGATTGTGTTCGTACAGGGGGGGAAAAAAAAAAAAAAAAACCCAAAGTGAAGCTTCTAAAATATATTTTTTTTCTTTATATTTGTGATATATAAAACATTTACTGAGCTAGAAGGAGGTCTTCTCTAAGCAAATACATGTAATACAAGATTGGTTATGGATTTTGAGGTGGTTATAAATTCAAAAGGAAAGAAGGCTGAACATGTGTTTCCTTGTTAATAGTTACAGTGCTTTCTGTTTCTTTTGGTGTTTTTCTCCAGCTCTGCATGCAGTACTGGCCAGAGAAGACATCCTGTTGTTATGGCCCGATTCAAGTAGAGTTTGTTTCAGCAGACATTGATGAAGATATCATCAACCGGATATTCCGGATCTGCAACATGGCCAGGGTAAGATCAGTGAAATACCGGATTCCCTGTTTATTCTCAAAAATATAGTTGGGCATGAGGAAGAGGCAGAACCAAGACTTGTGGTTTAGAGATGCTGAATCTGACCAAGGAACAAAATTCCACTGCAGAGTCTGGTAGCCACTTCCTTTAATTAATATTTAATTGCATCAGACTGTATTGGTAAAAGACTCTTGGCTGAAAGTGGATGATATGAGCTGAAAATCTGTATTTGAATGGAAAGCATTTTTCTGTGTATATTTGAGAACAATTAATCACTTAGTAGCCAATATAAAACCATCAGCATCGTTGGAAATAAACTGGGATAGTGTCAGCAGCTCTCCATCTGTCAACTACTATGCAGTGTCTCTGAAGACAGATGCAATGTTTACTGGCTAGGCTGGGATTCCCAATTGCCACTGTTCTTCCTATAAATAAGCAACTGACATTTCTGTAAGCAACTCTTTGTCTGTATCCCTCAGCCCCAGGACAGCTGAAATGATAGAAACAAAGTTTATCTGCACGCTGGACCCTGGCAATGCGACTTCACGGCTGCAGGAAAGGGTTTCAGTAGAGGATCTTTCTCTCATTAGTTGTTTCCCAGATTGATTATGTCTCCTTTTTTTGTTCCTTTTTCATTTTTTTCTAATCAGAAATGGAAACAGGCTCCAGAAATTACATTTCCGTGCTGTTTAACGCATCAGTGTCCGATTGTGCGGTCAGAGCCTGCGCAGCAATTCAGTCATGGCATTGCAGAGAGTGAACTTTGTGGTCTAACTGCACAAATTGATAAATCAGTTAGATATTCACCTTCCTATATCCCAGGCCAGCTGCCTCTGAACCAGGGACAACCCTGAAATTGTATAGCTGCTAAGAGTAGGGCCCTGTGACTCTCAGGATGGACCTGGCTCGTAAAATGTATAGCTGGCAGGGTGGATGCTGTGAGCTCGCAGCTCTCTGCACCCATCTGTGTTCCACACCAATGGACGCTGCTAAAATCTTTTTGAGGATCCTTTGCTGCCACAGTCCCCAGAGATATTTTGAGGGCCGCTTTTGCCTTTAGTTCTTATGGCACAACTAATCTCCAGCACAGGCAACCAGGAAAGACACATTTGATCTATTCATACAGTTTGGTGAGACTTTATTCCTTACTGAAAACAAAACAAGGGATCCTCAGCACCTCGTTTGTGCCTGGCTCTGTAATATCTGAGGTCATCATTGTTATCCAGATTACCGACAAGTTGTTGTTTCCCAACAGCAGCAGGTATCCAGGGTGGAGGATGTTAACATCAGGTGTCAGGTTCAGAGGGGAAGGTGCCGTGTAACCAGCGTCCCCTGCCTTGCCCTGTCGCTCTGCTTCCTGCCCCGTTCTGTTTAGCATCTTGAAAATACTCTTTGTTTTAGCCCCAGGATGGATATCGCATAGTTCAGCACCTGCAGTACATCGGCTGGCCAGCATACAGGGACACCCCTCCTTCCAAACGCTCCCTCCTGAAGGTGGTCAGAAGGTTGGAGAAGTGGCAGGAGCAGTACGATGGGAGAGACGGACGGACCGTTGTCCACTGCCTGTAAGTAGGGCTGGGAGATGTCTCTAACCTCACAAAATGCTGTCGGAAGAGGACTGATTATGGATCTGGAAATTTGGTGGTTTGCCAGGCTTCAGCTGGGGAAAATGAAGTTAAATTACATTTCTAACACACTTCAAGTAGAATATTGTGCTACATTATGGCATCCTAGCCCAGAAATTTTACTGACTGCAGTGGGGAGTAGCTGAAAAAGCTCTCTACTTGCTGTCGTGCAGGTAGGTCTCGTGACTGGAGCCCAGCCAGGACCGAAGCAGCACTGCCGCATGTCCAACTCCCACCTCGGAGCCAGCGTGAGCCCCGAGCAGTTGGAGCAGCGCTGCGGTCCCTGGGGCTCCCTGTCCGGCACCGCCGGGGGTCGGCTTAGCCCGTCCATCCCTGTCCGCTGCGCTGCAGCTCTCGGCTCTCGCGAACCCTTGAACGTCCTTACCCAGTCCTTATGTTACAGGCCTGTCCCAGCGCACGTGGGGGGTGAGCTGCTGTGTACGCAGCGCTCCCCTCCCTCCCCTCAGCCTTGCCTATAATTTCACCTGTCGCCTCTTCTCTTCCGCGCCCAGGAACGGTGGGGGACGCAGCGGCACCTTCTGTGCCATCTGCAGCGTGTGTGAAATGATTCAGCAGCAAAATATCATTGACGTGTTCCACATAGTGAAAACGTTACGGAATAACAAATCCAACATGGTGGAGTCACTGGTAAGCTTTTTTTTTTTCCCCCCTGCTCCTCACCCTACCCAGTGGGTGCAGGGTGAGTTTTAGGATGGGTAAAAAAATTCCATGGGTTAGCTCAGTATGAATAAGAACAATCACAATGTAAAGCCGTCAGAAGGAAAACCAGTCCCATTTTAGCACATGCAATAAATCCTCTGGTCCCGCTGCTTCTGTCCTCGAGCAGCCAGGGAGCAGCTGCCCTGGCAGCGTGATGAACGACGTGTCCCACACCCAGCTGCCTCCGGGAGGTTAAACCCCAAGTAGCTGTCACCGTGGCAGGGGGGAGGGAGTGGGATTTGTCCTCCCATGCATGCGTGCAGCCCGGTCCTTAATGCTGTGACGTGCCTGGAGACCAGGAAGGGGGAGCAGTGCGAACCCCAGGCCTTCCTCCCTGCAACCGAGGAGATTAAGCTGTCCTGAATTCACCATCTCAATCGATCACACTGAATTCTTTCCTCAAAAGCAATGCGTGCAATGAGGGCAGGAAGCAAAGAATGAATAGTCCGTACTGTGGCTGTCTCTTTGAGTGTTTTTCTCTTCCATCGACGATACCATCTCTTAGTCATGCTTGTTCAGGATCACATAGGAATTCAATTAATGTTTGCCTGATCCTGCCAAACGGTGTAAGAAAGAGGGCGGAGGCGTTTTTGGCAGCTTGTAGAATGAGCTCTAAAAAATTTACCTGTCCCCTAATGCCATTGATTTCTGTTCTCTCTTTCAGGAACAGTATAAATTTGTATATGAGGTTGCACTGGAATACTTGAGTTCCTTTTAGCCCAGAGGAGGGAGGGGAGCCTCCGAAATGCCAGACCCCAATCGCTGGCAGACGCTTCTCCCCTCTCCCACACTGGAAGGCAGTACAAGTGTGGGAAGGAAAACCTCTCCTTCCCGGAGCAAGAGACTGCGACTGCACAGACCTCGCTGGAAGGAGGAGACGATGCCTGTGTTTGCTGCTGCCTGCTTTCTATCAGAACATCTACCGCTTCTTAAATAACCTTCTGTAAAAATTAGCAAAATGGGAGACAGGCTGAAAGACTGGACTTTCTAATCTTCTCTGACTTCTTCTCTCCTCTTTTGGGTTGTATTTTTGCTCTCCTTGCCACAGAGTGGGGAAGGAATGAAACCCTTAGGAAATTCTCTTTTCAATGTCTCCTTTTTAATTTATTTTTTTTTTTTCTCCAATCCCAGTGTTTAATTTTTTAATTTCATGCAGCAGTCATTTGGGAAAAATGAGATAGCCATAGGGGATATATGAAATGTTTCATTAGAATTTGTCTACTTTATCTGTTTCCTTTTACTTGTTTTTCCAAACAAAAAGGCCAACACACACACACACAAAATAATACTGGAATTCTCGTCCCATATTTAGTCCCTTTTAGCATGAAAATAGATGGTGGAGATGAGAAGCTGTTCATGGATTCACTGCCTCGGCTTCTACACAGATGTTTCCTCCCAGATCCTGCTAGACTCCCGGGGCTGTGCATGAACCGTTACATCGCTCTGGTCTGTGTTCATTTCAGTGCTGGTGAAGCAATACCATTAATGAGTTTCCCAGCCACTTGAACCTTTAAAATTAAATATTTGCATCAAAGAAATTGCATTTGTCTTGCAAGTTTGGTAACTTTGTTACCACATTTTTCAAGTATTTGCTGGGGTGCAGTGTGTCTTTGAAAAACAGGGTATAACGTAGGTATTCTTGATCATATACTATGTATTATTATTTTTTATTTATTATTTGTATTGCTGTAGAACTTAGGACCCCTAGTCACAACAGAACCCTGCTGAA